GAAACCCAAGGCCAAACCACGACCGCAAGCTCCCAGAGAAGTCTGACAAGAACCTCAGGCACCTAGCCAACCACCTACCTCAATTCCATTGACTACTTCAAACCAGCCAACTCTGCCAAACCCGCCAATTGCTGAGGAATCAAAAGACCCAAAGATCAAGGCCCAATGGGACAATGACGACAATGCAATCTTTGTCAAGGTTTAGACTACTAAACGTCAGCCTGCTCACGGACCAATTGGACCCCAGAATGCTACTACGGTGCATGGCTTCAAGACTGCCACTTGGACTGCTGTAACTGAAAGACTCGCAGGAAGCAAAAACAAGAAAACACAGGGTACTGATTTAGTCAATGCGAGTGGGAAAAAAACCGTGAAGGCTTGTAAGCAACACTGGTATGTTGTAGGTAGTTTTTTTTATTCTTTATTGATTTGTTTTGTTTTTATTGATGTTACTTTACTTCTACAGTTGTCAAAACTATATGCCGATTACAAGCATCTCAATGGCCTGAGTGGTGCAGGGTGGAAAGATGGTTGTATTAACCTACCTGATTCAGTCTGGGCACTGATCCTTGCTGATAAAGTAAGTTTGTTTTATTTTCCTTTTATACATATTGACTTCTTTGCTTCTTGAAGAAGAGTACAAAGGCTAAAGATTACGCTTGCTTGAAAGGTCAACCCTTTCCCCTCTTTGATGCCATTGGGACTCTAGTTGAAGTTCACAAGGCTACTGGCAAGTATGTTAAAGGTTTGATTGTCGATAACACCAATCTTGGTTCAACATCCAACAGCCCAATCATCAACAGAACCAACCTGCCTACTTCAAGTAGCCCAATTTTCAACAGAACCAACATCCCTTCCCCTTTTGCTGACCAAGCCGACAATCCCTTCTTTTCTCCACCACCTGAATTCGATCCTTACCCCAAATTGCCTTCTCCGGACACATTGGAATCAATGGACGTTGCTTTCAAGCCCAAGGACAACTCAGACTCAGACTCAGATGAAGCTCCAGCGGCAAAGCAACACCGTACTTCTAAGGTAGCATTAGCTGCTTGTGCTCCGGTTAAAGCAAAGAAACAATCAGGTGTTCAAATTCTTGATGGGATGTTGACTGATATGAAAGAATTTGGCTCAAACATTCAATCTTCATTTGATTCCACTTCAGCATTGATCAACCATGCAGCTAACACAATTCAAGCTGAAAAGCCTTCAACCCATGCTTTAGCTGTTTCTCTCATTTACAAATCATCTCTTGAACCCACTCAACGCTACATTGCTTTAAATCTATTTGCTGAAAATCCTGTGATGGCTGAGACTTTTGTCAATACACCACCTTCTGAGCGTGATGGTTGGCTCCAATACATCCTCAACAAAAAAAGTAAGTAGTTCATTTCTGATCATTCATCCAATATCTACTGACTAATTGTGACTATTTAACATTTCTCTATCTATCAATTACCTTCAAGATTAATATTAAAATATCAAAGTTTTGTCAACAAATTTGAATGGAATTATAGTAGCTGTGTAATCTCAAATAAAATCAATTAAAACTTGTAGCTGTGTGTCTTGAATAAAATCAATCAAACCTTTTTAACAAAAAAATAGTAGCTGTATTTTGAAATAAAATCAATTAAACCTTTTAAATAAAATATTATCAACTACATTTGTATATATACATGCTGATACAAATGTAGTAGTGACTGTCTGACTATTTAGTGATTGCAATGTTAAACAATACAAGTCTTGTGATGAAATGATTATAATATGAGAGGAACTTTTATTGAACAAATCCAAACAAAAGATTTGATTAATAAATGTAAAAATAGAAATGACTTGCAACACATGTCAAATGTAATTGATTGATTGAGACTTGCAATACATGATACATGTATAAGATAAAACTGCTATGATGAGAGTTGTGAGATAATAAACATAAGTAAGATAAATACACTTCAAATACCAGGATACATGAAAGGTAGTCCATGTCTTTGTTTAGCTCGATTGACTTTTTTTCTTCTTTCAGTCTCTACTAAGTAATCCCTCCACATGTCTTCTGCAATTTGATCTCTGAGGTTTTTAGCATAGCTATTACCTTCAGCAGTACTACCAAATTCTTGAAGATAGCCAGATTGTTCTTGAGTAGGCGCTTACGTAGTATCTTGAGGGTCGGAATGAATCCTTCTCTGAATTGAGGGAATTCTTCAGCTGAACCTTTTGGATCTTCAACACAAATGAAGTTGTGAATGAAGCACATAACAGTGACCATTGAAATTTGAATCTTGATGGTGTATTCACACCCGTGAGCCATGAGCTTAAAGCGCTTCTTGCAAACTCCAAAGATACACTCAACAATGTTATGTGCGCTAGCATGTCAAAGATTGAATAGTTCTTCTTTATTCATTGGTCTAATATGGAAGGATAGGAGTGGTGAGAAGAAGAAAGACAGAGAAAAGTATGAAAATGATGGAAGAAGAAGAAATCTCACTTGAAACCTTTCTTTTCCCACTCTTGCAAATGATAACGGACTTTTTGAAAAGGAACAATACAATCTTCAATGAGAGCAAAGACAGCATCACCGAGATAATATTTTCCAGCGGGGATAGTAAGATCACGACTTTGAGCCAAAGTCCAAAGAGCACCGTCGGCCATACTTCCTTCAGCTCCAAAGGAATATATTTGCTGAGTAAATCTCCTTTGTTGGAATTCATTTAATAAGGTGATTGATTGTCCTAGCCAAAGGAAATAGTGATGAGAAAATTCGAAAAAAAGCAAAAAAAAGCAAAAAATAAAAGATAGATGAATTACTTAGAAATAGTATTGGCCGATCTTTGAAAACGGTTTTGGAGTTAACAATTAGACAGGTCAGTTATGACAGTATAGATAAGGATAGCCAACTTCTCAGTTCCGGTGATCCAACGGGAGTCATATAAAATCCCAGTTTCTTAAAGTACTGAACGTAGTTCAAAAAAACATATTTGTCCATTCCAAGGTTATCATAGAAAACCGAGTTATTTGGACTAGCAATAAGCTCATCAATCCAAGCCTGACCGCTGAGGATGGACGTAAGACGCGGAGCTTTGGTGAGATGAGGCAGGATTTGAGCTGCACAGGCCTGCACACCCGTGCTAAAGTAGCAAAAGTTTTGAAATTGTGGCTGTTGAACAGCAACGAGCTGTTTGAGAAATTGCAGCTTGAGCAACTTTTTATTTTTAACACACTTTTCAGGTGTGAGAGACTGAAGGGAAGAGCAAGGACGATGCTCCATGATTTAAATTACTTGATGTGAAGTGTTTAAAAACAAAAGGAACAATGATCTTGGTTGTTGATGACCGAAATGGATGGATGGATGGGAAAACAAAAACAAAAACAAACTGATTGATTTTCAAGGTTCAATTGGTCAAGTTTTGATTGAAAAAGACTTTTCATTTCATTGTTATCAAACAGTCAACCGGTGATCAAAAGGTCAACGACGATCTTTTTGATCTTTTGTTGTCCTTATTGGTCAACTGTTTGGTAACCGAAAAAGCCAAAATTTGATTTTTCAAAAACCAGCCAAACGGGCCCTTAAAATGTTAAACTTTAAGCAAGAACATTGAATTTGAAAAACAGTGATTTCTGATTGAATCTCAAAGGCTCTGACACTAGCCGCTGTATCAAACTTAACCCGTCTCTTTGCCACTATATGTACAATACTTACTGCTCAGCTTATTCCTCCAGATCTGAACAGATCTGAATTGACACATGGTGGTCAGTACAGGCTTGTACACCCCATTTCCATTCCCACAATTCCCACTGTCCATCAGCCAGTGTTTGGGAAAACGGCTCTGAAACATCTCAAACGAATTGAAAATGGGATGTTTCTGAAATGTCTTGAAAATTTGGGTGGTGTCAGGTGCTGGGTGCAGTGTATTTGGTGCATCAAAAGGCACACCAAATATTTTAAAAAACAAGGGGTGGCACACCCATATGCAAGACTTGGATAACCTGAAGCGTAGAAGGTCTTCTTGGGCCTAACCTTGAGCTAGCGGAAACTTATTATGTTGTCATTTTGGTTTGTCTAACTTTCAAGCCGGAGAAAGCCCTACAGATGAGCCCCACTGGGCATATTTCTGCTATTGATTGCTCACCTGAGTTGCAAGACCCTTAAAATAGTTCTTGAACAAAAAAATTCTGTGATTGTTATCTTGAAAGTGTTGTCATCCTGACTTGAAACAGCTTTTCTCACATTACCAGTTGTGTTTGAGCTCCATCACAGCCTTGATTGCTGTTTGAGAAGATTTTTTCATGTTTTTAATGTTTTTTTTTTGCTTCAAAGGCGCACCCACACGTCCCCTGCCACTTAGGCGCGCCCCAGACAGCGATCCTGCGCCCGGGGCGCCTCTCTCTGTCAAATCCGCGCCCACCACCTGAGTGCGGTGACTTAGGGTGACTTTTACCGGGCCCCGGGTGCAGCCGCTCTCAACTTGCGCAACCCTTCAAATTCTCTCACTCGACTCGAGCTTGGTTACAGCATGCGATATTGCGGGACTTTTCCCAGGCTTGTTGAAAGCTGTTGGATCCTCTCGATCACCGATCATGGCTCTCGATCACCGATCATGGCATCTAATGACAACACCATGTCGTAAATCTGTCAAACTACGTGAGTAAATCTGGCATAGAGACCGGTGGTTTTTTGCCCAAAGCTGAGATGTTGTTTGTTCAGACTCCAGAGGTTCTCTGCGTTCTCCGTGACTCGCCGATCAATTCGTCTTGGTGAGCTTGAAGGGAAGCAACAGGGACGTTAGCACCAGTGGAAGACAGTGAAAGAACTCGTTTTGAAATCTGATTGTCAAAGTAAAGGAAGACGTGAGCGAGCGTTCGAGGCGAATCAAGCCCAGGACAGGGAAGTATGTATATATGTACTACCAAACATATAAATAAACATCAGTTCCAAGCGTCGGAGGCTGTCGGAGGTCGAAGCTATTTTACATACCAAACCGACTCAATTGAAGCTAATTGAAGTCATGGTCATTCAACAAGATTCAGCAAGACTCGAGAGGTGAGCTACATATCGAGAGGCGCGTTTGACTTTGAGTTGAAATCGCGAAAGCTCTTCGGAGAGCCAAGCAAGCTTCACGATCTCGTCAAGCTCTCAAACTCACATACGTTCGGCATCCGAAACGCGATTGCACCTGATTGCTCGTACGTTGTGGTCCTCTTGGTCCCTTGTGAGAGACTTTTACATTTCATTTCGTCTTGACAGAGCACACCCTATCACGCCCTAGCAAGTTGCTGAGTTGAATTTATCTGCATCCTACACAGCACTCAGTGTCGACCAGCCTCTCCACAACCCAAGGTCTCAGGGGAATGACATGGAGCAGTCCTCTAGTCGTCCAAACTCGGCAAATACTGGTACCCCACTGGACGCGAACCCGTTTAGGGCGCAAATCAATACAATTGTCAGTTGGTGTTTCCAGGCCAGACTAGTGTGACACAAATCTTTGTGCTGAAAATTAATGAGCTCCTCTTCATCTGTTCTCAACCACAATCAATGTAAAACAGGAGAAACTCATCAACCCCCAATTCCCTTCCTGGGCTTTAGCCATCTTGATCTTGTTTGCCATCACGAGAGGTATCCTCATACTCATCTGCGCAGCAATCATGGTGATACCGCTATGTAAGGGCCCTGAGAGCCGGAAGAAACACTGGTTTCTATTTCGAAGGATCCCGCAACTGGGTGAGTCCTGCCCGAAGAATCTTTTGATAATGCTGGATATCAGTTTTAGTCGCGCTTTCTGATATATCTTGAACAGGAAGAGGCACTCGTTACGTGGTCCCCAATCGCTCAATGGTCATTGCTGTGTCGGAGCTTTTTTCTAGCATTTTGTACTTGTTGGCGGCGTGTGAAAACTACAACGTGAGGGTCAAAGTCTTTTGAGCCTCCCCCGCATGTGGTATTTGCTTATTGCGGTTAATCTGTAAAGATTTATAAACACGTAGGAATACGCCCTGGGAGCATAGGTTGGTACCTCATTCTGTGGTAAGCTCTTATATCAGCCAAAATAGTGAAGAGATTGTATTCCACGACTTCATTCTTCCCCGTGACTGACTGACTCCCCGATGATTTCCTTCTAGGTACGGTTTGGCGTGGGTGTAGTTTTTTTGAGGCAGTGATCATGTTTAAGCATCCTTACTGATCGCGATAGTGCAATTCTTCATCACAAAACCCTCAGGTGGCTCCCGTAGGTTTCAATCACAATCGAGAGCGTTCGATATCTGCTCACAAGCTGCGAAAAAATCCTTTTAGGTCCTATTTGGGAATTATGTTAAATGCCTGGTCTTTGTGTTATGCTTGGTTTGTCATTCCTTCTTTTACCTACCCAGTCCTCGAACTTGCTTTTGCTCACTGAAGCACATTTGAACATCCATGAACTTTGAATTTTTCAAACGGCGTCCCTTCCGGTTCTACAACGCATTCAGTCTCTGCGACGTAACAGAAATCAAGAATAGCCGGTTCCCTCGAATGCTTACTCCAGCTGTCTATAACTTCACGTGGATGTCATGGTTGAACATCACCATCGCTTTGAATGCTTACTGGACAATCTGTATCGCAAGGAACTGCCATGAAGCAGAGATAACTGTTATCCGGATCCTCGACTTGCTGAGGCGAGCGGCCGTTTCTTGGGAGATAAATGGCACCGCACAAATCTCTTGGAGCGATCTCTCGCACGAGCTAAGCATTTCAGTTCAAATAGTGTCAGAAACTAGTATGATAATCAACGGGTGGTGTATCACCTGGATAGCTTTGGCAGTTGCACTCGCAGTTGTGAGTACCTCTTTTTTCACAGACTCGATCTTGGGAGCTGCATGCTGGGCTTGTCTCATTCAATGGTAAGAAAGAGACTGAGGCAAACTTTCAAAGTTCTATCTCTTCACAGTTCAGTTACTGCTACGTATGCTCAACCAAATTCTGTGTAAACGCGAGTTAGATACTATGGTTGTAGATGCTCGATTGTCTTCCCCTATCTGGCAAGAGTTAGAGGCAGAGTTCAGTAAGTTATTCTCTTGGGATTCAGATTGTTCACATCGATATTCAACGAGGTTCTTCTATTAGACGGCTCTGCTTATCAAATTATCTAGAGTTTCTGTGCAGGTCTTCTAGTCTTGTTACCCTAAGCATAATCTCTCAACTCTTTGAGGCGGTCTTTCAGATGTATACTGCAAAAAATCTCGTCAAGTGAGTGGATCGAGGACATATATCACGTTGTGCATGTGGCAGTGACCTCATATGTATGCATTCCTTCTTGATAGGCTAAACTGGAGAATTGCCTCAGCCATTGTCACCCAGCTTCCGGGTGTCTTCATGACACCAGCGCTTCTGGTCCAATCAGTAAGACGGAATTATATATCCATCTCGAGTCCGAATAGACCAGCTGACATCATGACAATTTTTGGCTGGTAAACTCACAGTGGCGAATCCTGACAGAGCGATCAGATGAATCAAAATTTCAACAAGTGCCCCTAGCATTTGAGGATCAAGCCCTTCCGCAAATGACTTCCCACATTTTGGGATGGGATACCACAGCATTTTGGGATAATGAGACCGAATTGGAAACTGTCAACTTCCCTGGTCTTTGCGAAGCACAATCAATAGATTCACAGAAAACAGAAGATAATGCTAGCGTTCACAAGCAGGCAACTCGGCGCAAGCCTACCGATGATATAAGTGTTGTGCGCTCCACTATGGTGACTCGCGAGGAGATCGAGATAATACAAATGTCGGATAGTCCGTGCTTTTGAACTTTGTGAACTATATTATTTATTACCGAATGCAGTCTGGACGTCTCGAGTTTCTTTGGGTTTTTTAATGAGTTATTTGTACCACCCGATGTTGTCCCTATATCCTGTGTGATACCCACTTCTTGACCTTGTGAACCCCTTGTCTTCAGCCTGGAGATAAAGGAAGATGTGCTTATGCCCCATTTGATCAAACATTGCATGATTGGGTCAGATGTTATGAGTTTCTCCGAGTTATTTCTCCTGGAGTGGTGGTGAACCTTTTGTTCTTCGGATGGTGTTATATGGTTGTTTCCAGTTGGGCACCAGCCTCAACCTTGAGGCGTCCTATATCCAGATTTCAAAGCACAAGATCAGTGTCCCCGGTTCCAAAGAAGGAGCCCCAGTGGCACTAGATGGCTGCCACTTTGTAGTTACACATGGTCAGGTCCGGCTTGGGACTTAGTAAGTTTGTGATGCTCCCCCCATTGGCACACCATAGAATGAACACATATGTTGGTACTGGGGACTGTATCCCCAGATCCTCAGAAAATAGGGGTTTCAAGTTTGGATTTTTTTTGTGTATTTTTTAAAAATTCGGGCAAGTTTTTTGAAAAAAAATTATGCGTAAAACCAGTGTATTTTTAAATCGGGATACCTAAAAAGGTGTCCCGCTTTAAACTTTTACGCATAGTTTACAACAACGGGCAAGTTGTTGTAGCGTAAAAATGCGTAAAAATATTCAACTTGAAACCCCCTATTGTCCTATTCTTGTATTCTTACTTAGATTTGTTCATGTTGTTTGTGTTTAATGTTGTGTGCGTGTATAGTTTTGTGCAGATCTTTCACTAGGATATATGTACCTGCAACATGTTAGTAGTCTTACTCCAACTTGTGCCAGTGGTGAAGGAGCTGGACCGCTTGTCACTCTCACAACTTGGAATCCATGCTAACCTTGTGCCTCACCTTACCATTGGCTTACTGCAGCATTGACTCCCCGGATTCACTGGCACTCCTTAGCTTAACAAAGCTCTCTCTGCACGGCCTTGTCTGTGCCCTCACAGAGTGGCTTAGGAATAATTGTGGATTTTTGGTGTGAGCACTACAAGAATTAAGTGGCCTTATTAAGTAGTTCTTTGCATTTCTACGCTTCCCTCACAAGCAAGCCTCACTTTACTCCGCAGGCAAAGTTGTTCATAATAATTTTCTACATGCACATCTTTTGTTATCCAGAGGTAAAGACCACTTCATCATGTTGTTCTTGAGGCATGTTTTCAAGCCTTATGTCCCACTTGTAGGGGGCGTACAGCGTGTTTCCACAGCATACCTAATTTTTGAATCAACAATACAGGTGTGTTGGAAGAATTTTCACACAACTTTTTGGCCACATTACTCAGATTGCTTATCATGTTAGGCTACGGGATCACGTAGAAAGTTTTTTTGAACTTTGCCTGTGGAGTCCAGTGAGGCTTGCTTGTGAAGGAAGCATAAAGATGCAAAAAACTACTTGAGAACACTTAATCCTTGTAGTGCTCATGCCCAAAATCCATGATTAGTCCTAGGCCCCTCTGTGAGGGCGCAGACACGGCTGTGAAGAGAGGGCTTTGTCAAGCTGAGGCACTCCCCTAATTTCACCCTAACCCTCCTTGACCCCTTCCCCTCCCCTTCCCACATGGGTTTAACTCTGGGGACAGTGCAAGGGCCTACCCTGACATACATATGTAACAATCACCTGTGAAAGGATTGGAATCCAGATTAGATCTGTCTTGGACTGTCCAAGGTTGACAGCCGTTGAAGTCATCCAAGACCCTGGTTTGTGGACCACCACCTGAAACACTCACTGGTGCCTGCAGCAGAGAGTCGAGACCACACAGCAAATGAACTTTCCGGTGGTAAACCAAAGAATTGGGGAATTTCCTGGGAACACTCTGATAACCCTGATAAACCTCCTCAAACCAATGAATGGTCTTACATTGAAGGTGGGTTGTGTAAAATTACAACCACATTCTCACACTGGTAACTTAATGTTAGGCTGAAAAACCAGTTGTCCTTTCATCTTGACCAACCAATCTCCTTGCGTGATTGTGGGAGCATGGATGTCTCACCTGGTGACATCCAAAGTACTCTCTGACCCATCAATCTGACCACACTGACCACATCCTCTCAAACTTTCATCACAGCACCCATTGACTCAAATCACTATGTACTTGAACCCACTTCAACATCAATCATACTGTTGCGTGAATTCACCCTTCAACTCTTCAGCCACTCAGCTGCCACATAGTTTGGGATGTTGGATAGCCTAGGCTTCTTACTTATGTCACACTGTGCCACATGCACACACAGATTATTTAAGCATTGTTCCTCTTCCCCTTATATTTGCCTTCCTTTCAAAACATTTCCAGCATTAAACCAATGAAGCCAGTGTCTTTTGATCAAGCAAACCAATTTTTTTCTTGATTTTGTTTGTCTTTTTTGGAGTGCCTGCATGGTCAAAATGTAGTGAGCATGATTTTTGTCATGCTGTGCTTGTGGCCATGAATTGTAAGACCTAGGGTACCTCTCCGCTTCATTGCATATATGTACTGTGTTTTGACCCATATATTGTCATTGGACTGTCACAGTCTCCTAGTACATACCAAAAATTTTACCATCTGTACACATGAACTGGTCAGCAGCATTGATTCTAGAGTGAATGCTTGCAATTTAAGATTTGATAAATTTGCAAAGCAAACAATTGATCACTGACACTTAACAACCTATTACACTGTTTCAAAATATAATTACTTTTGCCTCACAACAACAAACAAACAAAAGATTGGACAAATAAACACTATAGAAAGAATAAAAAATTAATTCTTTGGGTATCTACGGAATGTGAGACGTTCCAAAGTGACAATGCAAAATTTCAAAAATCAAAAATCACAATTCCTGGGTGCAAAATTCAAAAATCAAGGACAAAACTATAGAAAATACTCAAATACAGGGATAAGTCCCCTGTACTGGAGTAAAAATCATGGCAGAACCCCTTTTTGCCCAAATTTCCAGTGGTTGACATCGTTTTCATTGCATTGTCACCTTTTGACAAAAAGTACCAGCAACACCAAAAACCAAAAAACCAAAATACCAAAAATCAAAAACCAAACACCAAAAATCATAAAATACATTTCTGAAACTGTACAATTCAAACAACAATGTTAGATTCTACCACAGCCAAAAACCACATGTTGGCCAACTAGCTACAAGCTTGGTCTCACAGGTATCAACACCTCCAACCAGAGACATTCTACCATCTGTCTCAAGAGCTTCAAAGTACCTGCTTCCCGTCTTGCTCTTTTCCAAAAACTCTTTCATCATCATCAATCTTTGTCAACCGTCCTTGATCTTCCCCTAACCCTCCACTGCATGCCAGTCTGCAGTCGAGATCGTCACACCCTTAAAGAATAATGCTTTGTGATCAGCGGCAAGCATAGAATTGATTACCTAAAACCAAAGACGATGTAAATAAATGAACAAAAGAACAAGAGAGTAGATGTTGAGAGAATAAAATAAGAGAATGAAAGAGAAGGAAAGAAGGACTTACTTCCTGTGCCTCGCAAGCCACCTTTTGGCTCTCATAATGGCTGTTCCAGCGTGTTTTACATGGCCGTTTTAGCATCTGTACTTTGCAACCCATACACGTCAAACGTGACTTGAAATTGTTTCGCCTGGCAGCGCTACTGGCAATCTGCCCACTGACGGTATCAACCTGATTGTTTACAACATTGAGCGCAAGAATAAAACCATAATCAGCAACAATATATATTTTTAAGAGTGGAAGAGGGTTACTATTCACCTTTTTGAGGGCACGTGCAAACAAGTCGTCTTCCTCAGCAGCATCGGCAGTGGAAAGGCATTGCTCATCGTCGTCATCATCATCAACCCCGTCCAGTTTGTCCGGTAAGCCATCAGTATCTTCCTCCTTGGATTTGGATTTGTCCATTTCGATTGCATCATTGCCACCATTCACTTTGAGAACCGGAACCGGAAGTGCAAATCCATGTGGAATAGTTGGTTTTTGGGTACTTACCTTCTGACCAAGTGCTTTAAGCCCATGGCCAACCGTGAGGTTGAGCTTATGAGTGTAGCATCTAACATTATGTGAAGGTGCATGCCAAACAACTGGGTCATCGGCGCTTGCAAACATGGTCTGCATTTCGGACGCCATTGGTCTGTTGTTACCACCACTGTTGGTGGTTTGAGCTAACATGTAAGTTACAAACAAAAATAAGTACGTGTTGAAGAAAACAAAAAAGAAGATAAAATATTAAATGCTTATCTTTTTGTGAAGATTGTGACAAATCAAAAATCTTCCTATTGGTCTGGCCAACAGTGCTCCAAAATGACGCCATGCGACCAATTTGAGAGTAAGGTGAGTAGATCGGTAATTCCATTCATTGTTGATGTAGTTGGCACCCGCGCCAATGGAGGCAAACCTGTTGCCCTTTGTAGTCCAGACATTGTGGATTAAACAGAACTTGCCTTTATTGTTCTGCAACATGGATCAAAAGCAATGAGTCAGAGAAATGTATAATAATAAAGTAAAAGATCAAAAAGGAAAGAATTTCACTTACTCTGACAGCGCTGAGAGCTTTGCTGTGTAAATCCGAGTAAAGTAAGACTGCTTGTTGGGATGCCCGCGTTCTTGAACAAACAACAGCACCTCGATTGATGGTGTAAAAAGCAGCTCGGATTGATGGATCCTTGAATCAGGCCCAAGGAAGGGCATGTTGAACCAACCAGATCACCAAGATCATGTTCAACAACTCTACAGTGAAAGTTGGTCCGTTTAAATAAGAAGTCAAAGTTGAGTTCTTCTTATTCTTAGCCTCCTGTTGTTTGGCATATGAAGGAGGAAGAACAACACCCGCAGTGATAGCTTTGTGTCTCATTGTGCATGAAGGTCGAATCTTGTTTCCATCTTGATGACCCCATAAATTCCAATACAACGTAGATCCACCTTTGTAAGTATTGTGGCACCATCTACACTTGTAATTAGTCCCCTAGAAACAAAGATAGAGAGATGCAAAAAGGGCAAGGTGAAAATAAGATATAGATTGAACAATATGATCAAAGTTAAGATCATAGAGAAACAAGTTACAAGTTAAATAACAGAATCTTACCTTGGGTTCATTGAAGAATTCAAGAAGTTCCTTCACACGAGCAGACCAAACACGATTGTAGCCTGGTTCAGTTGTGCCAAGAAACTTTATGTCGGAGTCTTGAGACATGTTGACTCCTTCAGGTACCTCAAATTCCTAAACAACATGATGATGTAAGATAACGAGAAAAGAAATTGATGAGAACAAGGAACTAATCAAGAGTATAAAGGAGTAACTTATGTTGTTTTTGGTTCTCTTTGAAGATCGGGGAGTGCCGCCTGCTGAACTTCCTGATGGTGATCTAGCCCTCTTGCTGGTTGATGAA